CCACGCTCCGGCCGGTGGAGATCTCCCGCGCGTGGTACACCTTGGCGAAGGCGCCACAGCCGAGGAGCTTCCCGAGCTCGTACTTGTTGAACAGAACATTTTCAGGGGACGGTGAAAGGGTAGGCGCGGCGACGGCCTCGAAATTCGAGGCCTCATCCATCTCCGGCGTAAGTGGGCCCACCACCAGACACAGAAAAAAAATTCGAAAAATTAAAATAGAAAGGGAAATCTATGAAAAATCAGATGCGAAATAAAACAGAGGTAGACCGAAAATCTGGGCTTAAAAAAAGGAGAAATATTTGGTTTTTCGTTTCTTCTTCGGTAGAGGTTGAGAATATTATTAGGATCTTTTAATATTTATAATACTATGTGTCAGTGAATTGGACAGTTGTGCCAAATCAATAGAAGCCAGTTTTATAGGGATTCTTATTTTATTTTATTTATTTATTTATTTTTAAATTGTGACTTGTGAACGCGTACGAATGGGGCTGACCTGGACCAAAATTTGAAAGCAGCGTTTTTTATCTGCGTGGTCAAAAATTAGGCAGTGGTCAATTTTTTCGGCTTTCACAAATTTTCACCTTTTTGAAAATTACGATTAGGATTTGGGGCAGCGGTTAGTAAAAGTACGGATCATATCTTTTGTCAAGCAATGCATCACCCTAGTTTACTTTTTAATTAAAAAAAAATTGAAAATAAAATTTAGTGACAATGAGCTGTTATCTGACTTTTAAATGCCTAGCTGGATAAACTTAGGTAAAATAAAACTGACGGGGTGATTGAAACGTGGGTTATTTTAATGGAAATTGCTACATGTACATATTAAATGTACGATGAATTTTTAGTGGATCTCACAGTCAATATAAGTGTTATGTACATTGGTATGTACAATATTATGTACCTATAACATTATTTTATTTTAATTTTGTCTAGGTTTATTAAATAAAGTCAATTATTTTGAATAAAATTAATTGGATGGATGGTTTAATAGAATTTTGAATTTATATTAAAATAATATTTAAAATGAAAACTGATTTGATTTAAAAATAAAATAAGAGTGACAAAAAGTTATGAGCAGGTGCGAACCCACATGGGGGACCGTAGGGGCACGTGCCCCTGTGAGGTGAAAACTTTCAATGAGTACATACTCCCTCCGTTTACTATTAGATGTCGTTTTGACATCTAGATACATAGCAAAATTGATGAATCAAAAAAGTCAAAACGACATCTAATAGTAAACGGAGGGAGTATATAATAGTGTATGAAGAATATATAATACATATAGTTTTTAATTATATTACCTTTTCTTGTGGGCCCGATCACCCACTACTACTCAAACAAAGATTTTTTTTTTCCCGTCACTCGTTAGCACTGAAGACTCCTTCTTTACTTTCTTTTTTCTTCTGTATTACAAAATTCCTTCTAGTTTGAGGGAACAACGATTAAGGAAAAAAGTGAAAAAAAAATAAAAAATTAATAATTGAAGTGGTTTGAATTTATATTTCCTCTCAGTTGGCTATCAATTTTTATTTCAAAAATTTAGTTTTTATAACCCTAAATTTGTATTTGGGAATTTTTAAAATTGATTTGATTTTAATTTAGTGCTTTCGTGATTTTGATAAAATAGCAACTTAAATGTCATTTCTTATTTGTTGTGCATTATTTTATGCATTATTTGTTTTAGGTATCTTCATAATTGTAATAATAGTTTTAAAATTAGCTCGTAATTTGTTTAAGTTTTAACCTAATGTCATTGAGTGATAGTCTGATTGCATATATTAAGAAAGTTGTATTTGATAAGATTGAAAATGATGTCATTATTGAACGCTATCAGAATATGAGAACACGTAGAGAACAATTGTAATGTAACGTTTGTCATTTTTTTATTCTTAATTTTATAAGTTATATTGTGCCTCCGTACTTTTAATTTTATGTGTCCGCCCTTGGTTATGAGTAGTTAAAATTATGTGAGTAGATGAATATAAAATTAAAGTTAATGTGATATATATGTGAGGATGATTGTTGATATTATTAAATTATATTGATAGTTAAATTTTGATATACAATTTTGGTTATTGATTGAGTGGGTAAAAAAAAAAAAAAAATTCACTTCCAATCGCCGCTAAATATTTCTGTCACGAAGGGAGATGAAACTACAGGGGTGCATTCGTTTTGGGATTTCGAGTGATATTTTAAACTTGTTAAGATTTGAGACTTTTTAAAATTTTCATGTTTAGGAGGAATCATGTGAAATTTTAAGTTTGGAAGTAGAATTTAAAATGAGATTTCATATATTGTTTTTTCTTTTGAAATCTCAACAAATCATAAAATGTCTTAACAAATCTAAGTTTTACATAATTAAATACCTCAAGGTTTTTTAAGACTTTTTAGAATCTCAAATAAATACATCGAGGCTTTTAAAGAACTTTTGGTTTGGCAAAAGGGGAAACCATGGAACTTATTTGCAATGAAATTTTAACAAGTCGAAATTAAATACATCAAGATTTCTGAAAAATTTAAAAAGTTTTTAAAATTTTCAAACGGATAACACCTTATTTAGTGTACCGTGTAGAGACTTAGGTAGGCTTTTAAATTGTAGGATAAACATATAATGCACACGTGTAATTTAGGGTGTGATTGGATATAAGCAATAATTGGATGAATTATTTTATATTTAATCATCTAACTTAAAATCATACTCAACTTAACACTACTATTTTTTATAAATAAAATTAAATCGTACTAATCAATCATGTCACACATCACATTAATTTTAATTTATTTTTATCAACTCACATAATTTTAATTATTTATCACTTTCTAATAATATATTTTATACTTTTTATCATTTCAAGTTCGACTTCAACTATTATATTTTTTTTGGTACAGAGAAGAAGATTGATAGGATTACGCTAAGACTCGACGGGGATACGAAACCCCATTCTTATCATGCTCAAGCCAAGCTTCCACCCCCACGGGTGGGGAGATGATGCGATGAAAACCCAAAGGGTAAGACTCGGCTAGGCGCACCATAGAATCAGCTGCAAAGTTTGCTTCTCTGTGAACGTGTTGGATCTTAACGCTCTAGTCCCTTTGAATCAGTCCCTTTCAACTATTATATTGAATAAACAGCTTAAGTATGAGGTTAATGGAACTTAAATAGAAGGTACTCCTAATCAAATCTTAGGCACGTGCGCGATAATGTGATCCACACACGTGTTCGTTACAGCGGTTTTAGACTCATCACTCATTAGTCATGACACACGTGGTCGTAGTATATAGTAGTTATAAGCGTGTCTGACTTTCTAGAAACCAAAAAAAAA